GACGTTGCTCCGGATCAATCAGCTCTCTAAAATGATTTCTCAGAATTTCGTTTCAGTTTTTCACAACTCGAAAGTTCAGTTTTTCTGGTTGCTAGGAAACATATGTAATCCCAACCGGCTGGCGAGTGGTTTCTGGAGGTTGCTGGCTGTCATTAGGTGAAAATCAGTTGCACCAAAAAGCTCCTTGCTTTGGTCACTAGAAACCACAGTTTCCTGTAATTTGCATAGAAGACACCAACTTATTTGCAAACACTCACCATTTATTCTCCAAACTGCAGTGAAGCTCAAAGGAAACTGTAAAAAGACAGATGTAAACTGAAAACTGAGAATTCCAAGTCAGTCTCATTTACCATAGAGTAACACACAATTGAAATAAAGCATTCATGAATTAATAATTGCTTATGTGATAAATTTATTTATTTATTAGTCAAATCAGTTACAAATGAATGTTTAATGTATTTTACTTATTAGATATTAAAAAAAACAATTAATTATTTGACAATTTAATATATAATAAGAGCAATTATAAATACATGAATATATGTGTGTATGTAAATGTGTTGTGGGATTTTACAAACTGCATTCATAAAGATGGCTGTCATGTAAAAAATAAAACTACCCATGTAGTCTCACATATATTCTAGCTTCAGACAACAATAATACAGGGAGTGATGGACTGATCGGTATCATTGTAATCACTCTTTATCAATTATTTTAAATCGTAGGTATCAGAAGGTTATGTGGTAACAGGTGGACTCCTGAGACTGTTTACAGACAGTATTTCCATAATTAATTATTATTAAAGACTGTAGGTTATAGCTATTGTTTTAACTGTGCTAGCTGATTCAGGCTTCATTTAAAAGGAGCAGATTAGCTTACTAAAAATGGCAGCCCACTAGTACTGATGGGATGTAGTCTTTTCCCAAGCTAACATGAGTCTTAAAGAGTATGGCTACATGCAGCGATGCTAGTCTTAGCCACATCTGCGTGTTACCTTCAGCCGATGGTCAGGTGATTCCACAAAGTGCAAACTTCAAGATCAGGGCTCTCTTCAGGTAATGTCAAGGCAAAATGTTCTTAAAAGCTTCTTAGCAGTGCAGAGCTATTGACACAAGCAGCAACCTCGAAAAACCCGGTCAGCCATCTGCATCATCATCTCTCTAACCAAACAGAGAGCTCCTTACATCACATTGCATTATTAATTTGCATTACTTTTTCTCCAAGGCCAAGAAGAGTCACAGAAAGGCTAATTGGAGACATGGAGACATAGGAAAAGAACATGGAGTTGATAAGGAGGAGTGGAATCTTGATTTTAAATATCAAGAACATATATTGTTAATTTGATTTTTTAATTCTGTTTACTTATTTCTTTTTTTGAAAATGTGTTTATCAAATCTGAATTAAAAATGTGTTTTCAATAAGACTAAACGGTTGAGGAATTTTCCCTATTAACAGAAGTTGCCAGCTGGTTGGTGACCGGCAGACATGCGTGACTGGGGACATATTTGGGGGAGTCTGTTTTAGGAGTGGATATGAAGGTTTTCTGAATAAGTAAAATAAAGTGATTATTATAATTGTGTAAATGATTCTTTTCTTTTTCAGTAGAAGAAATGTTTGATTACTTCTCTAGGTGGTAACCCCGTTTACGTGACTAGTTAGCATAGTTTTTTTGTTTTATTTTGCTTTTAATGTGACTTTCTCCTTTCCACTCTTCTTTTGTAGCTGCTACCTTCTCCTTACTTGTCTCCCAGACCTCCTTATTTTTCTGACTGTGACCTTGAAATAGGATCTCTGCTTTGTGAGCCCTGCTGCTCCTCCCTGCTTCCTCCTCTAAAGCTTTTCTCTCCAATTAATAAGCGTAATCAGCGCTGACGTTTGACTGATGAGCGCTCCCTCTGGAATAACCATCACCACAGCAATGACACTAGTTGTAATAATATTTAAAGTAATGATGATAGTGGTAATATAGTTAAAGGCTTACATTCACCTCCTAATCTCCTGGATTTATTAGATAAGAACATGTCAGTCACTTTGTGAACTGGATTGCTGCAGGCTATTGAAAATGAGCTTTCTCTCACTCGGTGCAGGTTTGAAATGTTCG